TAGAATGTGTTGATGATAATATTGTGACTGAATGTCATGGCAAAGAATGTTTTCTTCTTGACACACCACCATTGGGGAACCAATTCTCCAACACACGGACTGCTTGAGGAAGTAATTCATGTCAAAATCATAAGATAATGTTGCAGCATGGTGATGTCAGTTCCAAGGTTTGCACCCAGGGTAGTGAAAAGAATGCTTTCTCAGAGCAGCAAGGAACTATACCTGCAGCCTTTTGGAAAGCCAGCTCTAAGGCCACCTCCAGGGTATGCAAAAAAAACACACAAATGCAGCAAGGGCCAGACTTTTCTATCTGAGGAGTAAATAAGGAAGCCCAAGCTTGCTTGGGATAACCTTATCTTTTACTTCACCCTGAATAATCTCATTTTCTTGACAATCTCTCTGCACAGTTACATCTGTTTACATACAGTTACCTATCTCTCCTTACATACATCTTTCTCCTGCACAGCCATACATCTGTACACACAGTTACATCTCTTCACACAGTTTTACCTCTTTCTCAGGCAACATCTATCTTCTACATGCCATGCATCTCAATAAAGAGTTGCATCTATCTTCATAATTCTCTACACAGTTTTATGTTTCTCCTTTACATAGTCACATCTCTCTCCACACAGTCATATACTTTTTCCTTCACATACGTCTCTCTTCTATACAGTCACATTCTCTGTGTCTCGTTACCCACCCAGATGCATCTCTTCACAATTCTTTCTCTCTGCACATTCAGCCACATCTCCCTTTCAGCACTCACACATACCTTCTCTCACATCTTCCTCCTAATTCTCTCTCTGCAATTTCTTTCGATACACACACACACACACACACACACACACACACACACACACACTCATCTCTCCTACTCCTCCCTCACACTCCTCTCTCTGCACATTTGGCTACATCTCCCTACCATCACACACACATACACACCCCTCTTGCATTTCTCTCCTAATTCCCCCTACACCTCTTCTGCTTCTAACAGACAAAATCTCTGCACAAATATGCATCACATTTTCAGGGTCACTCAGCTCCTTGAGTAAACAATAAGAAACAGCCAAACTGTGATAGTTTCTCTCAGGACAGGGAGGTAACACTGACCGGTCAGTGAGTAAAGTAAGCACACAGTTCTCAGTGGTCAGGGGTCCTAGACAGAAAGTGACATTGAAATTCAGACCTTAAACAATAACCAGTTAGTTGGCCGAACCTTGAGGTTTTGAGTATGTGCAGAAGGTCCATGGCTGAGAAAGTTATGTCTACTCAAGTTGCTTTATGTACTGATCTCGAATCAACAATAAACACCAGGGAAACTGACCTTGTGTATTTGTCTCCAGGGGCAACCAGTTTGCTTTGAATTTGTTCTGAAGTCTAAAAGCAGTTAAATGTGTAAAAGGCTGTTTTTGTCCTAGCATTATTTCTATTTATCAGAGTTATAAAGTTAAGCAGAGATCGTCTTCCTGACTATACACAGCTATATGTGTGCACAAGCAGTGGGGAAAATACTTATAGCTGTTCTTAGTTAAGAAAAAATACAGTCACGCACAGTCAGTGGCCCCACTGTGTTTTCCCAGTGAGGTTCCCCATCAGAGAGTTATCCATCTGGTGGATAGACCTGTCAAATCCTAGTTGTCAACTGCTGTATACTTCCACGGCCTCTGGCAGATGATGAGCATTACTTCCTAAGTGACTGGGTGGCATGGCATCTTCCTTCTGTTCCTGTAGGCTGTACTTCACAGCACACACATATTAGGCAAAACTCCTTTCAACTTTTATGAGAGAGAATTTCTTACTTGAGACCTATTAGACTGAAAACAAGTTGTCAACAATAGAAGAAATTTGTTTCAAAATTAAAAATGGCTGTGATAGAAGAGAAACAAATCTTTACAATGGTGTCTCTTTGATCATGCGATGCTTAGCTATCACCACAAGAAATTTGGTAAAATTTGATTCTCCTGATTTTTGAAAGACTCAGGCTGCAGGAATGAAATCAAGAAAACATGGAGAAAGGGGGACCAGGAATACAAATGAATGACAATACTAGGCACATACACAAGCAATCAGGAATACTTACCAGCATAGATTTTGAGAATAGGTGTGTTGTGGGTGAGAAAGAAAGCAGTGCTCATGGGAACTCAGCCATTTTTCTTCTGGGTTGGGTTGTGCAACCTTAAGAGCTGTTCTCATCGAAATATACATAGGTATTGATGATACTAGAAACATAAAGACATTGTTTCCAGCTAGCTCAGGGTAACCACCATATTTGCGTTATTGATGCTTAATTGGAAGCTCTTTCTTTTCCGTTAATTGTCCTTAATAATAACAATAATTTGCCTGGACATCCCCAAGAGTGAGCTACTAATCATTTTTTGCCCCAGACCCAGTCAATCACTCCGTAAGACTCAAAGATTAGAGTTAGATCTGTGTGTTCCTTTCCTTCCCACATTGCGACCTCAATTCAGGCATTTGCCACCTCTCTCTTGAATCTTCAACATGACCTCCACCTCTCTCTTGAGTCTTCAACATGACCTCCACCTGTCACTAATCCCTACTACTATTCCCATCTGTGTGATTTATCCTATCTGATTAGAACTTTGGTTGCCCAGCTCCAGCAGGGAAATTTCCACCTCTTTGGTATTGTAAACCTCACACTTCTGAGTTTACAGTTTACAACCTATTCTACTCTGTCCCATTTTAGTACTGTGGTATTGGAATGGCTTCCTGTCTGCAAGTATTTTACAGAACATAAGTTCTTTAAGGCAAAAGGTACCAATTATTAGTAGTGAACACTTTCTCACATCTCGCCCTTCTGGTTTTTCTTTTTTACATTCTGTTTTCTCTGTTTCTTTTCTTTTTAAATATCAAGTGAACTTTTATTCCTCAAACTTTTAATAGTGTAGCCTAAGCTGGGTACAGAAGCACACCCCTTTAATCCAAGAGCCCTCAAGTCAGAGACAACCAATCTTGTCTACACAGCGAGTTCCAACTCAGTCAGGGCTATTTAGTGAGTATCTTTCTCAATAAACAAACAAAGAAACCCCCCCCTCTCTCTCTTACACACACACACACACACACACACACACACACACACTGTAGCCTTCTTGATAAAAATAATCTCCTACCTTATACCTCCTCCAAAGAAGTAATTGTTTCTTATATAACCTTTGAAAAGCTGAGTTGCAGCATCTTGTTTCCGTATCTGTCTCCTCTACGAATGCACAAAGATGCTAAAGGCAAAACAAATATCAAAACCTTTAGGTACCTATGGTGATTTGTGAAGTACTTTAATGTCACAGGTAACAACACGAAGATTGCTTTTGCATTAGTGAACATTTTCATTTCATATTTGTCAAAGGTTTTCATGAAAAGCAAAAACATATCACTGAATGCTATTTGAGGAATCAGAAATTAAGTACATAGCAGCTTTTGTGTGGGAAAATGATGGTCTCAATGATGCGCTGCTCCTAGAAAAAGTAGTGCGCTGGGGAATCTGGGACAAATGAACACATGGGACAAGTCTCAGGTGCCCTGAACACAACTTGCAAGCTGTGAGATTTTGTTAGAGATGCCAATAAAATACAATGAACCCTGGTCATGTCTTGAAAGTGATACTTCTACTTTTCTGAAAACTGTTTTGTATTTATGTTATTTTATTTATGTGTATGGGTGTTTTGCTTACATGCATATCTGTGCACCACATGAATGCAGTACTTGCACAGGCCAGAAGAGGGAGGGAGGTGGATACCCTGGAACTGGAGATACAGATTATGAGTCACCATGAGGGTACTGGAAATCAAATCTAGGTCGTCTGGAAGAGCAGCAAATGTTCTTAACCCCTGATCTCTCTCTCTCTCTCTCTCTCTCTCTCTCTCTCTCTCTCCCTCTCCCATATGGTTACTTTAAAAACCAATTGTTAAGAATTTCTTAAGATTATTTTAAGTCTTAAAGTCTTTTATTTTTAATCAATTGTAACCGATGGAACCATGCAAAGTTGTGCTTAAAATATTCCTTCTTTAAATGACACAAAATATTTCTTACAAATAAAAAATTTTGAATTTGATCTTTATATTTCACTACCAAGTATTTAAATTTCCAGTATGTCACACAAAAATTGGTGCAAAGGAATCATCCCATTGATAGAAGTTAGCTATAATATGTGCTGTGCTTGTGGTTTGGGGAGGGTAAGCACACTACGGTGTTCTCGCTGAGATTCAAGGAACCTAGTGCTACTTAGCAAGGCAAATTGTTTGGCAAAGAAATGAACGTAAGAAACCCACCTGTTTCAGAGACAGAGACCTGCATTGAAGAACTGGACTAAGCTCCCAACGTCCAGTTGAAGAGTTGGAAGAGTGAGAATATAAGGAAAGAGGTCAAGACTATGATGGTCACACCCACTGAAACAGTCTACCTGAGCTAATGGGAGCTCACCAGCTCCAGCTGGACAGGGAGGAACCAGCATAGACCCAAACTTGGCTCTCAGAATGTGGTTGACAGTTGCATGGCTGGGGCAGACTGTGGGGCCATTGACAAAGCACCAGGATTCGTCCCTGTTGCTTGTACTGGCTTTTTGGGAACCTATTCTCTTAGGATGGATACCTTTCTCAACCTAGATATGACCTTCCCCAAAACAATGTGCCTTCCCCTCTCTGAGGAGTGTATGGTGTGGTGGGGTCTGTGGGAAGGTGGAGGGAATGGGAGTGGGAATTGGGATTGGTATGCAAAATGAAAAAAGATAGTTTGTTTTTTTAAAAAAAATAAAATAAAGAAAAAAAGAATTTAGCAATGAAAACGAAAAAATGTGCAAGTTTCTGTGGTCATGTCCTCCTGTTGTCCTCCGTCTCCTCTGACTCCTGCAATCCTTTCCCCACTGAATCTATTTTCAATTAAAGGAAGAAAGAAAGAAAGAAAGAAAGAAAGGAAGGAAATGCCCATGAGAATGAACCATGATGAAGTCTAATGAATTGCTACTATTTTTTATTGTCTTATCTCAGACCAGTTGAATTTTCAGAAACTGAATACCCACGAATTGAGTACCAAAGAAGAGAGCAACAATTTTGGGACCCTATTCGACTCTCTCTGTTTACGTTGGCAATTGTAGCAATCATAGGAATCACAATCGGCATTGTCACTCATTTCGTTGTTGAAGGTAAGTCTTCAGGTCATGCCTCGAGTGTACAAGTGCACTCTGTTGCATAAAATTTGACATCTTGATGACATTGAATAGTAAATATAGTTTTCATTCATGTAAAAGTATAGTTTGCTAAGAACAGAAAGTCTACATTACACATTTCTGAATATTAAAATTTTAAATAAAGACTACACTGATAGGCACATGTAAATGAAACACTAAGAATTAAAAAAACAAAAAAATATTTTCAAAATAAGAACAAATAGCATCAAGTTGAGTACTCTTCTCAGAATCAATACATTTCTGAATCTCCTATAGAAAGCTTGTGATAGATAGGACTCAGTAGTCTTAGCTAGTAGTCCCAGTATCCAAGAAACTGCAGCAGGAGAATTACAAGTTCAAGGACTGCCTGAGTTACAGAGTGAAGTCAAGGTCAGCCACTTCCAATGAACAGGCTATCTCAAGATTAAAAGTAAAGAGTGCTCAGAATATTGTTCAGTAGAAGCGCAACTGCCTAGGAGGTGCTAGGTTGTGGATTCAGATCCCCCATACCACAAAGAAATAAAGACATGGAAAGAAATAAAAGTAAGAAGGAAGAAAGGAAGGAAGGAAGGAAGAGGGGTTAGAACAAAGGAGAAGGGAAATGAAAAAAAGGAGGGGCAGAAAAGAGAAAGTAACAGCTTATTATATAAAAATGTTATCCCAAAAATATCTTGAAGAAGCCAAAGCCAACATTATGTTTGAAAGGAAAATTATATCATGACTGGGGGAGAAAGGAAAACTCAGAACTAATTCTAACTGTATTGAAAATAGGACTTACCACAGGGCAGGGAACCCGGACTGCTCTGTGGACTGGAGAGGGAGGGGGAGAGGAGTGGGGGGAGGGGGAGAAGGGTGGGAGGAGGGGGAGAAGGGTGGGAGGAGGGGGAGGGAAATGGGAGGCTGGGAGGAGGTGGAAACTTGTTTTTTGTTTTTGTTTTTGTTTTTCTCCTTTTCTCAATAAAAAAAAAAAAAGAAAATAGTATCAGGATAAGTCACATGACACACAGCTAAGATCCACTTACATTTGTCTTAACATATTTATAAACATAAATGACTGACACTTTGTTTAAAAATTTAGTGACTCCCACAAGTCCTTTTTATTTTTTGATGTTTTAATATACTAAAATGTATTGAGATATAAATAGATATAAACATCCCTAAAAAATACCTGTCATTGAAGAAAATAATAGAAGCTCTTATAAAATAACTCAGTTATAAAATCATGTGACAATATGCATTGAGATACAGTCTGGATCCATTAAGACACTGCATGTAAAAAGTGATTGATTAGAACGTGGTGTCTGCTACAAACTTGACAAATATCGGTTCATTCACCTACACGCATGAAAAAGAATTAAGCCGTGATCATAAAAGTGAAACCATATATACAATCAAATGCAGTATAAATTATTTAGGTAAAAATAATTGGTTATGCATCTTTTTCAACTTTTAAGTGAACAATAAGAAACAAAATACTAGCTGGCATGGTGGTGCATACCTCTAGTCCCAGCATCCTGAGAGCAGACACAGGCAATCTCTGTGAGTTTGAGGCCAGCCTGGTCAGCAGAGTGAGTTCCAGAACAGCCAGAATTTTTTAGAGAGACCATTAAAAAAAAAAAAAAAAGGAAAGGAAAAGAAAAAAAAAACAGAAAAATTTCTTAGAATTAACTCATAAACAACAAGAAGATATAAAATTGTGGTGGTATTCCATCTCAGCTAGATTAAACAACAGTTTAAACAGAAAAAAATAAACCAAATAGTAACATTAAGTAATTGTAGGTATTAGTATTAGGCCATGTTTGTTCTCTTATAAATGTAATTCTTACTAATTTCAGATCTTTGATATAATTTTTGATCTAAAAATGTTCTCAAATGAAACTGTAATTAAATTAAAATGAGAATTTTAACACAAAATGCTGTGTGCTTTGTAAGTACAGAGTATTGAAATAGCTATTTCTTAATTTAGTACTTTTTAAAAAAAGCTTAGGACAATTATGGTTCTGGGTTCTTTTGCTAATATTATCGGAAATGTTTCTGCCTCTTTGAAAGAAAAGTAGTCCAAAGTTCCTCTCCAGAATTTGGCCTCTTATTGAAAAAAAAAAAGCATAAACTTTTAGAATACCACAGTAGGCGCTCTTCAAAGTATTGTATAGCTTTTTAGTTGTGGTTGCTGGCTCAGTGCGAGTGCTCTCAATCCCATCTTGAAAAGAGGTAATGTCAAGAAGAGGATGAAACTGTAGAGAACACCCTATGGAAGAGGTTTCTAGGGAAAGTAACAGTAGAAACCAAATCTTGAGGGAGATGCTAAAGAAAGAAAAGCACAGTTTTGCTGTTGCTTCAACACAAAATCTAAGTATGCAGAAAAGAAGACTCCTTCCCATGATAATGCAGAAATGGAAAGGCTTTAGGTAAGCAGGTAAATCACCAAATTGGCAGTCTCGAGGACAGCTCTCCACAGAACCGGCTACTGTGTGAAGAATGGGAGAAGAGGCAGCGGTACTCACAAGAAGTATGTATTGTCTTGATAGCAAAAGCATAAACTAGATTGCTGGTGATAGGGGAATTTATAAAGAGAATAGATTTTTAAAATTTGGGCAATTGTGTCATCAAAATCCTGCATGTAATAAATCTATATTAACAGTTCAAAGGAATAAGGCACATGACTTTTATGATTTCTTTTGATGTTGATTTTTCATTATATGTTGCATGTCAAATGTAGGATAATTTTGATGTGCATGTGCGTGTGTATCAGTCAGCATTCTTTTGGAACTGAGTTTTCTGTTTTGGCTAACTGCAACGATATGATGAAATTAGAAGCCGGGATTTTTGAGTTCTACAATAACTTTTGTTTTAAATGGAAATAGATTTATCAGGGGTGAGAACGAGGAACACCCCACATGTAACCCAGGATCTTCCATTCTTGCCTTTCAGATGATAAGTCATTCTATTACCTCGCCTCTTTTCAAGTCACAAACATCAAATACAAAGAAAATTATGGGGTGAGGTCATCAAGAGAGTTTATAGAAAGAAGTCATCAGATTGAGAGAATGGTAAGCTCAATGAGAAATCTTGATCTAGTCCTTAAAATTTAACAATTTGACTATTCAAATTTGTCATGCTAGCAGCCTGTATCTCACTAAGGAATTAATTTTCATTTCCCTATTTATTAATTAAATTTCACAATAGTTATCTGCTGTGTACATTTCTTTTCTGTTAGTGTTTGTTAATGATTTTGTTCTTTTATATATAAACCTTTATCAGTAATATATATTGAAAATAACCTTTATACATTTGTTCTTTGCAATTTTATTACTGTTATACTATATTTATATGGACAGGTGATATAAACTTTAAAATATTATTGATATCATTATTTTTTAATCAGTACCATTTGCATTTGCATGAGAAAACACTTCTGATTCAATATAATTAGCTTTTAAGACCCTGGCTTTGCCTTTTGCATTTAAAAATTGTGGTATATATAACTGAGTCACGTGCGTGTTTAAATTAAATAATCAAATCATTTCCTTCCAAAAATAAAAATCAGTGTTCTTAGGACTACTATGGTACAATAGTCAGTCCCATGCTTACCTGTCAGACCAGCTCCTCCACGAATGCAGTTTCAGCCTGCTAACTGAGGTGTATAACATCTTCCATTGCTCAAACTAGTTTTCACTCTATAAGTAGCATCTGAGGTGCATGCATGGGCAGCCCATATATGGTGGTTCTGTTGAACTTGACCATATTGGGTTTCATGGTCTAAGTTGATGATGACAAGCATCTGCTGCGTCCTTATATAAATCAACAGTGAGTGTCGATCTTTGTGACATTAGTTTGTTGGGGCTACCATAGAAAATGACCACAAAACTGTGTGGTTTAAAGCAATAGAATATTTTTTTCTTTAACTGTTTTAAAAGGCAAAAGTAGGAGAACCAAGTGTCAGCTGTGCCAGGAAAGGCTATAGCAAAGAATTATCCTTATCTATTTCAGCTTCTGGCTGCTCCAAAAATCCCTTAATTTGTTGCTGCAAACAGTGAAATCTATAATATCTGTCTTCTTCTTCACAAGGTCTTCCTCCTCATTTCTCTATAGTTTTTCATTGTTATGGAGACTTTTAAATATGGAATTCAATGCCCTCCAAAGCAGTCTATCTTCAGATCTCTCATTTTAAGATAAATAGCTTAATAATACCATATTTACTGAATTCTGAACTCATATATTGTTCAGAATGTACATTCAGTACATCCAATACATCTAGGATTCTAGTCTTCTTTGAGTTTATCTTGGAAATATTGCATTTTTGCTTTTCTGTATCAAATATACATACACATAAACATACACACACATAGACACATACAAACACAAAACACAGACGTACACATAGACACACACATGGCCTGCATACACAGAGACCCACACAGAGACACACACACACATACACACACAGAGACACACATTTCCATGTTAGGATTTGATTTAACATGCTTCAAATGTAGAGGGCCACACAAAATAAGTAACTAATTTAGGACTTCTTTGATGTATTTCATTAGAACTTTAAATTGTTCCTTTAAAGTATTACCCTTTTTTAGAAATGTATTCTTGTTTGAAAATTTTATACATGTATACAATGTATCTTGGTCATATCTACACTTCACTTCCAATCCCCAAGTTTCCTCAACACTCTACACCTTATTCCAATATAAGCAGCACTAATTGGATTCCATGGATTAAAGGAAAACTAGATAAATAATTATTTGTTTTCCCTGCAGTTAGAGTGGCAGGTGGTTGTAAACTGCCCGAACTGGGTGCTTGGATAGAGCCTAGGTACTGTAGAAAAGCAGTCAGTACTGAATTGTTGAGTCATCTCTCTAGCCAGCTACTTTTAGTGGCATTTCAATTGTATTTTAATAAATAAAGCTTGCCTGGGGATCCGGAGAGTAAAGCGGCCACACTGGTCAGTCTTACAGCCAGGCAAGGGTTAACACACACCTTTAATCCTAATAGACACACTAGTTGCCATAGAAACTGGGTGGTGTTTGTTTTTAATCCCAGTGGTGCACGCCTTTAATCCCAGGACTAGAGAGGATTATAAAGTGGGAGAAATCAGCTCTCAGACACAGTCTCCTTCTGAGATTCTTGGAGGCAGGATCGCCATTTTGGACTGACGTTGAGCCAGTGACTGGCTGCTTTGACTTTTGGGTCTACAAGTTGAACCCAAATATCAATCCCTAAGTTTATTAATTGTACTTCAGTTATTTTTCTTTTGTTGTCTGAGTTCAAGATATGAAATGAATCTCTCATCTATTAAGGAAATTTTTTCCTACCTTTTATCAGTGTTTGAGCTTTTCCTTACTCTTATTTCTAACACAATTTTAGTGATGTCTTTAAAGAGAAGTCTTGAACCTAAATCCATTCATTTTGATGTAGTACACATTCACCTTTTCATAATTACTAGTTCTTAGGAGTCAGTGTCTCCTTGATGCTACTTCTGTCTTTGAATATTTTATTTGCTGTTTTATTCCTAATTTCTCATTCTAGATCCACTTTTTCAAAGGACAGCAAACATAATTAAAGTGTTTGTACAGTAAAGACTTGTACACTATAAGCAAATAAGGGTTTCCTAATTGATTATAGTATCTTTTAAGAAGAAGCAACCCACTAGTTTTCATTCACGAGTACCAGAAACTATTGTGCTTCTAAGAAATGTAGAAAACATTTCATAGTCTCTTAGTTTTAATTATTTTTCTTTGACCTTTCTTTTATGCCAGCTGCAACTTTCCAGTTATTGATTCTTTCCACTTCAAACATATTTGCGATGGTAAAGAAAAACTGTAGCTTATGACTCATTCACCTATTTTTCTATCTGTTCAATAAATTTATAAATTGTTTTTGTATCCATTTTGTGAATATTTATAGAATCTATTCTCTAAGATTATGTCAAATCATGATCATAGATAGTAATCTGTTTCATTAATGGCCAAGAGATTGGCTAAATAAAGCATTATGACGGTATAGAATTACTTATGAACATTTGAATCAATGCTTTATATCACGGTCCTCAATAGAAATATTAAAGTTAGTCATTGTTCTTAGTACCTTTCTCTGTCTACAAACAACCTGTATTCTCAGGGCTGCTGATTAGGGTTTTCCATGGACTTCTCTGTTTGATCACTTGTATAATACTCTGCTCTTTGGGGCAGAGTCAAGACAGATTAAAATAAAGCAACTGCGAAAAGCTGGGGATGGGCAAAGCACTCTTTCTTAGAGACGAGCACATCAGTTGGTTGTCCAGTGGCAAATGATCAACCCTGAAAACATGCATACGGGTAACATTATGTGCACTGAACATGATATATTTATCAATATATAAAAGACATGAATTTGAAGAAGAGTAGGGAGGGATATTCAGGAGGATATAAAGGGAGAAAAGGGAAGGGAGAAATGTTGTAATTAAAATACATTCCGTCCCCCAAAGAAAAGAAACAAGATTATAATTGGTTTCATTCTCAGTTTAGCTGGTTTGGCCAGTTAAAGCTGTTCACTTTATAGTCATCGAATCCTTTGTGCTGAAAGAACATTTACTGAAACCCATTTTAGGAGTTTTTAAACATTCTAAAACAACACTAACGCTTGAGGATCTGTATTATGGTTCCTCCCATTATCTTTCTATTCAAGGATATAACATTTGAAATATGAAAAATGCACAAGATACAAACTTTTACTTTTCCACTGAAGTTTACTGAATATTTTCCTCACTGCAGACTAAGCCTCATCTAAAAATTGGGAATTAGTGATAGCAGAACTTCCAAGGAGAGGACACAGTGTTCTCTGGTTCCAGAGAACTTATTCTTATCTGTTTTGAGTCACAAGAAGCAAATTCTGTGTCTGGAAGTTCCTGATTAACAAAGATTTCTGATTAAATGATTTTTTGGACTAATAATTCCAGGAAATTTTATTTAGAATGTAGAAACAGAAGGAATGTATACAGGAAGAATATTAGCAAGGATGTGGTTTCAAAAGTCCAAGCTCAGCTTGATTTGTCTGGAAGATCTGGGGCTTAGGTTACATCACAAAGGTGATTCTGAGCAGACATAGTAGGGCTGGGTTGTTTGTCATACACCAAGAGGTGATGCCTCAAAAAGCTAAAGAATGACTTCCCAGACATCACTGGGCAAGTTTCCCAGGTCAGACAAGGACAAGGCTGCGGGAAGTACAGATGCAAGGTGTTATCAGCCAGTACTCACAGACTCTGGTACATCTATCCACTAAGTAATTTAGTTAATCCACGATCATAACTTTATTGTTGAGTAATATTCATATGCTGAAATTTCTCATCACAATTCAATGTAATGTAAAGAAGAAAACTAAAGACTTTAAAAATTTCTTGTCCCTTTGATTTAACTTTTAATGACTGAGCCATCTCTCCAGCCTGTCTTAAGAAATTTCTAAAGAAATAAAAGACATTTTTATTGGTTGGATAAGCAACTATAAAAGTAAATCTCCATTGGCCAACCTCTCTAAATCACCTGAGGGATAGTCTGTTGTTGCTTCTCTTTCTGTTTGTTTGTGCTGTTCTCCTCTGTTGACATTAGAACACATTCAGGGTGAAATCACACTAAACAAGTGTAAGTTAAAACAGCTAAGTAAAATGAAGACACGGGGGGAAAGTACAGACTCACTTGGTTTCAGAAATGGCTGATTTCAGGGGATCAAATGATGATTTTGGGCTAATGTTGTTCCTTATTTTATTTCACATTGAAAAATACAGCTAATGCCAGCTTAATGTACTTTTCCAAGTTAGTAACTGAAGCAGTGGGGCATTTTCCCCATGATCATCCTTAGATGGATGCTTCAAGAAGCAGTCATATTTGGTTGGTCAAATTTAGAATTAAAGAATAGTAAAAAAAAAAAATCAAAAAAAAAAAGAATAGTCAAGATGTTGAAATTCTGCCAATCTTGTGAGTCATGGAGATAAGTTTAGCTCCATTTGAACTATATAGATAAAGCTTCACCCTCATTCAATAGTCTACCTGGTGTTTATACTTGGAGGCATCTCAATTTAATCTAGTTTAAATGCCCTTCTTAAAGACTGTGCCCACTAGTGTTTTTTCATCATGAATTTTCAATGAACAATTCTGTCTACCTCATTGCCAGAGCACTTACACTTCCATTATCCACATGCCTATTCTAGTGACAAGTCACATTTCTACCTATCTCTAGTCTATAATCTCCATTCTAAACTAGCCAGGATAAGAGCTCACATATTCACGTCAATTATCACTGCTTCCACTTAGGATCCATCTCACATATACAAAGAAATCAGAACGACATTTTGAAAATGAGATATTGTATTTGTTTTCTTACATTTTCTTAACGGCTTCTAAATATTCTTAAAATAAAACCTAAGCTCTTCACCCAAGTTCCCAAATGCTCGCCTGCCTCAGCTCTAACTGCTCCCTCTCTACACTCTGCCTTGCTCACTTTGCTTTGCCCGTATTGGCCTTCTTTCTGATTCTTTGCGTATTCTGTTCCTTCCCCATAGAAGACTATCTCAGCATCATCTGAAATACCACTTAAGCTTCATCTACTTGGAGATCCCTTCTCTTTACTGTCTCTCAGGTGTTGCCAATGACACTTGATAATCAATGTCTGTTTTATTACTATCTAACTGTATTTTGAATTTAAGCTTGGCACCATTTTTGTTCAGCACTGTTTAACCAGTTTCTACTACAATGCCTTGAACACAGGGGACTTACATTTGTTCTGAATGAATAAATCAGTGATATAAAAGAAAAAGACAGCAATAATAAGAGTCAAAAACCAGTATAAGATCTGGGTGTTTTGTTTTGTTTTGTTTTGTCTTTACAATGCTGATTAAGCTGAGCCATTACTATAGATAGTCAATTATTAATGAATATGTAATTACTCATTCACACATACTTTCTGCAAAGCTATAAATGATGCCAAGGTCAGCACAGTCCCTTCCGGCAAAGAAATTATACTCTTGATTATTAATGGAAGATCATTCGTGGAAAAGAATAGAATCAAAATTAAAATTAAGTAATGACAGAATGGAGCAATCTGAAAGCTGTCACAGTCGGTACATAACTGCTAATTGTGTGATTTGAATGATCAGGATTTTGGAGATCAGAGGAAGCAAACTTGTGGAGTCCGTAGAAAGCTTTTCTGGAGTGGACCATTCTATCAGTGTGCTTTCCCTCTACTGGTCTATAGCCACCCTTATAGTAGAGGATACTTGTGCAACTTGCCTTATTTTCATAGGTAGACCTCAAAAAGAATTCTCCATCAGTATCTCCTGGTATCCAGGAGCAGTTTATCTTTCCCAAGAACTTAATCTTTGTACAGTTGCTTGCCCAAGGACAAAGCTTAAAAACCCAAACAATAACTGAGCAGCCATTAGCCTGCTTAGAGGCACACACACTGTTTCAAGTGTACTTTACTTTTTTAGTGCTGGAATGAAAGCCAAGAAAGACAATAACGGTGTGTTTTAAGGTGAATAAATAATTTTAGCATCTGTTTAGACATAAAATTTTTAAGTGAAGTAATCATTAGCATAATTATGTTTAGAGTTGGAACATAAAAACTTAAAGATTGAATTAGTTTATACTAGACATCATATTTTTGAGTTCTCAAGGGAAGTATACCAATAAAAATTCAATTTCTTCAAAAAAATAACTACAATAATAATTTCTAAGAAAACAGTTAATTTTTCTATAAAATAAATGGCAATCTTTTATTTCATTTTTTTACTTGGAAACTTATTAGTTTATACTAACTGACTTTTTGAGTTGTGTCCTGAGTAAATCCACACAAACTTTTTTCAAAAAATGGTGTTTTCATTGTGAACCTATCCTTTAATGTCCAAACCATACCATCTCTCTAGTACCTTTCCAATAAAAAAACATTTTGTTGGTATATTCATGTACACAGTTATTGACTTTAGAAATATATTTTCATTTACATTTATCCTGAACTTTAAACATATTAACATATTAACTTCTAAGACAGTCTCCTTTATCTCCCTCCCACCTTCCCTACCCTCTTTATTTTCTCAGATTCTTATACTAATACTTCCATATGTATATATACATATACACTTTAATATGTTTAAGGTATTTTATACATAAGATCAAGGATTCACATATGAGAAAGAATGTAGTATTTGTCTTTCTGAGTCTAACTTATTTTTCTTACTCTGCTCTTTCTAGTTCCATTTATTATCTTGAAAAATAACATAACTTCATTCTTCCATATGACTTAAAATCCATTATGCATTTATATCACAACATTTTTTTGTTCATTCATTTACTGATAGATACCTCATGGTAACCAATTTATGGAATTGGTCTACATGTTCATATTATTTTTTATAAAACCACAGACAGGCAGAGGTGGACCTCGAGTGAAGGCAGAGTGATGATGGGACCAACAAAGAAGAAAGCTAATGCCACTTACACTGAGGGAGATACTGTCTGGAAGCAAGAGCTTAATATATTTATCTTTCTATTTAATAGGTGTCAGTTTTGCTTGCACTGTGGGGGTAAACTGCAAGAACAGAAAGGATCATATAACACAGGGTTCTAAGAAGATGACAATAGTCCCCCACTAGGCTAAAACAATGAAAATGGGTTCACTAGTTAAAAGGTAGAATCTTCTGAGTGTTGTACTGGTTCTGCAGAGTCCAGGAGAGGAAGAAAATGTATAGAGCAGGAACACAGAACCCCTTGTTCCCAAAGTGTGTAGTATCTGGGGGTTGGAGTGTGAGACTTAGTTCATAAGTATTCTTTGGTTCAGTTAACATAGACCTGTGTCTTCTACCTTTTGATGGTCAGTCCAGTGCTCTTTGTGGGTAAGTTTCAGCATGCCTCCTTCTAGGGAATCAGGGCTCTTTAGGAAATAAGTTCTCTGAACATCCCAATCCTTCACAGGTTCAGTCTGGAAAGATTGAGGAACGTCATGCTCATGATATACAGTGTGGTGCAATGGGTGTTAGGCTCTGCATGCCTCAGAGCAATGACTCACAGTGAGACAGTGAGGTGTCAGAGCTGTTATCGTCACTCAAATGGTCGAGTGATATAGTAATCACTGACAAAGTCAACCGACATGGTGACAGTGGCTAACTAGATGCCATAGAGTGTAGCAAACAGGATGCTGGGCTTTTTTAGAACTGAGGTTGATGTCTTAAAAATAACCCAATTCTTTAACTGAATTGATAATTAAGACTGAAATTATTACATAAGTAGTTTGCTAGATATCAAACATATAATGTAATTTTATTTACTTTTTCAAATTCTATTTGTCTGCGTATGTGTGTGTTTGGGGGCGGGGTCTATGTAAGTGCACGTGCATACCTTTCTGTGAACATACAAGGCCAGGAGAGCATATCACATAGAATATTCTCTTATGTATATCACTTTCACCTGTTTCTTTGAGCCATAGTTTTTCCCTGGACCCAGGATGCTTGCTTTTGGGGCTAGGCTAAAAGCAGCAACTTTCTGCAGCCCCCAAGGGCTGGAATTTCTGGAAGGAAGCCTGGGTTATCTTACAGGTACTGGGATCCATATCTGTATCCTTATGATTTCAGGAAAGGATTCTTAGCCACTGATCCATCTTTCCAGCTCCCAATTTTATTTCGCAAATCAAGTTTCTAAGGCAGATATCACAGTCACTCCCATTTTACAGAGGTTCAGTAAATTTGACCATTTTGAAAAAGTTGTCCAGTCCTATGAGGATTTGAACACAGATTTAGTCTGCTCATTGGCGAAAGCCACTATGGATCATGAAAATCAATTAAAAACTTGTTCTTTACCAAGAATTTCTTGATAGATAAAAAATAATATGTTTCTCAGGACTAACATTTTTATTTAATTTTTTATCAGATGTCTAGGATATTCCGACGTTCTTCAGGAGTAGGTAGATTCATCAAGTCCCATGTTATCAAGATAAGGTATGTAACTTATAGGAGTCAGTTCTCTGCTTCCACCATGTGGATTCCAGGGATCAAACCCAAGTCATCAGGCTTGGCAGAAAGCACCCTTCCCTGCTGAGCCATTGCACCAGCTCCTATGTATGTTTTAATATAATGTTTAAAAGCTCTAGATTTCACACTGAGATAGATGGAGAGATGACAGATCGGAGATAATTAGATAGTTGATAGACAGATACATACAGAAGTGATTGATTATTTTGATAATTAGATAGATGATAGAGATATATAGAGATGACAAATAGGTAGTCTATTATCTAGTAGATAATAAGTAGATGAGATAGCTAGATAATTAATAGATTATATATACATATACAAATAAATAGATAGATGATAAGAAGATAGAGGGGATAATAGGTGGCTGATAGAGATAAAAGACAAGTGGCTGATAGAATGTTAGGATATATATGGCTAACTTCTTAGTGGTAATTAGTCTTTTTATGTCTTTTTTTTGTGTATCCCCCTTTCTTCTTTTATTTCCCTTTCTAAGTAAATTCACTTTCTAAAGTCTACTACAGGCTTTCTATCCCTTAATCATGACATACATTTCTGTATTTGAATCATCGATCAAATTATTTTATCTTTATAAATTACTCCCTATAGAAATTTTTGTTTATTACATTTATACCAAATACCAGAATATCAGTGTTTTAATACAATATCTATTGCGACTCAACTCAAAGAGTCAAAAGTGGGGGCAAAAGAGTGGGTGCCAGTAGGCAGTATAGTATTGCCTTGTCACGTGATCTTCTACTTCTGCCTGATACAAAAGAAGCACAAGATCTGGCAGTAAGGGAAGAATTCAGGCGAGCGGTTGAGTACACTCAAGAGAGGCTAGAAATGCAGTAGAGTTCTATGCTCAGAAGAATGGAGGTGACGCGCACACATTGTCTCTGCCACACTTCACTGGAGAATAATGACCTCAGCCACCTTACTGCTTTTATTCGAAATGCCTTTAAAAGCAACCTGTTCAAGTGAACACAAAGTATGGTTTCACGGGCCCCTCACAGAACTCTCCAAACTGAGGAAAGATGGAGAACACTCTTCTTATTTCCATTATGTTGCTGTCTCTTCTGCAGTGTTTGCAGCACTCATTATTGTCATGCATTCCATCTTGCTCCCTTATCTGGATGCAATGTTAAGTCTTGTGTGCACAGATATCATCCTCAATGTTTCTTTAAGTTGATGGAGAGTGCAGAGATGGAATCATTTTTCTGTTTTGCTCCAGTCCAGATGAACAGGGCGTGAACATTCTTATGGTGCTAATGTTTCGATACCCATCTACTGATAGTGCTGAACGAATCAAGAAAAAAATTGAAAGGACCTTATACCAAGGTCTGAAGATCAAACAGTTGCCTCTGACTATAAATAAACCATCATTTAGCCTCACACGTAAGTATTTTGTTGCTGTTTGCCATTTTCCCAATTCCCTTTGATTGCAATTGCCTGCAGTTGTCATAAGAATCTGGTTCGTGCCGTCGGTGGTGGCGCACGCCTTTAATCCCAGCACTCGGGAGGCAGAGGCAGGCGGATCTCTGTGAGTTCGAGACCAGCCTGGTCTACAAGAGCTAGTTCCAGGACAGGCTCCAAAACCACAGAGAAACCTTGTCTCGAAAAACCAAAAAAAAAAAAAAAAAAAAAAAAAAAAAAAAAAAGAATCTGGTTCGTGTAGCTTCCCATTTCACAAACTCGCCACTAGTAAATATCAATGGGCCTGGAGAGATGAGTCAGAATTTAAGAACACTTTCTATTCATGCAAAGAGCTCAGGTTCACTTCCCACCATCCACATGCCAGTGCACAGTTACCTGCATGCCAAGTTCCAATGTAGTTGACACCCTTCTGATATCCTTGGGCTCCTTCCTGTATGTACATAGTGTGTGCATGCATGTGCATGCTCACACATGAGTGTGTGCTCACACACACACAAACACAACACATACACACACACACTCACACTAAATAAATGAAAACATATCAGCATTGAGAAAACCTAAAATAAAAACTCACTATGAGGTAAAATTTGGAATTATACTTTTTTCTATACTTATGAGACTTTTGACAAAGTTTTTAAGTTTTTTAACCAAATGTTATTGAATATTTTAAGATCCATCAAAGGGTGGACATTATTTTCAACATTTTACATGGGGAGCTGGACAATAAACAAGGCCCTGAAACAAGAATCAGCAAGAGTAGCCAAAATTAAACAGAAATATTATGAATCTCAGAATCATTTTATAGGTACATTTTAGAGAGTTTTTGTTTGTTTGTTTGTCTTATATAATTTTTCCCTATTTGTGTGAGTGTGTGTGTGCCTGTTTAACTTCAGGTGCATGTGTGTGGAGATGCTAATGGAGGCCTGAACGATGCCTGATCCTTTGGTGTTGGGATTACAGGCAGGTGTGGATGCTAAGATCCCCCAAGTCTTCTGCAAGAACAATAAGTCCTCTTAATTCCTGAACCATCTTTACATCCTCAAGAGTTAATTTTTATATCAAATAAACAATCATGTATATAAAGAATGATTCTGAAATAAGAGAACCATAAACTATGAAGAGGTCCTCTGACATATCTAGTCAAAATATTTTCATTATTTTCCTGTTACTTCCAAAAGAAAGAAAAATTATTAGTAAAGTCCTTGTTTTTTCCAAAGTAGAAGAAAGAAGAAAATTAAGTTCAAATAGTTTATGAAATTAAAATGAAAAGTTCCTTAGAGCTAATTAGAAATCTGGAAGGATTCTTTTGTTCTATGAAAAATGCAATTAGGGAATAAAATATTTTTTTAAATAAAATACTGTCTTAAAAGATGAAAGGATTGGACTGGTCTCTTTTTCATTTACTTCCTTAGTACCTTTTATAATTGTCTACATCTCAGGACAGTAGACCTTCCAGCTCCTTCACTGTAGCTCATGAATTTCTAAGTTTAGTTACTTTTGATTTCTTAGAAAAGAGAGAAGAGACTTGCAGAATCTTCTTGGACATCTTTAAGTCAAATTAGACTGTATATTACATAGGTAGTTAGACATGATGATCATGCTATTTACTATGTATTATTTTTATTGTTAAAACATTTTGCTCCAAGAGAAACTAGAACCTATTTATCACTCTGTAAAGAGGATCCTCAGAGAAAATCCTGGCTATTGATAATGTAACTATTTCCAAGTCATGATCACAGACTTAAAGGAAAATGTAAATGATCGGAGTTCACTGCATGCTATAGTTATAGAATTTCTTACAGTTGTCAACAGTATTTTTTGGTCTATACAATGACATTTTTATAATACAGGCTGTTTTTATATCAAAATGAGAATATCCCAAGACAACACTTGATAACAAATTCATTTACATATATTTTCCATCACATACACACCATTCATTAAAAACATGTATGTGAAATTCCTAGTAAGGATTGGGGCTTACATTCCCATTTGGACTTTTGCAACACAATGGAATAATCTAAAATATGTTGTTGGGCATGGATTGTTTTGAACTAAAGTAAATCTAAGGGCCTTCAAAGACATTTCTTTCTGGATCTTGCTCTCCCTACTTTTCTCTCTTCTGCTCGAAGGTGAGCAATAGCAACTAGGTCCCTCTTTTCCAAACCAGGTACTGGGAGTCTGAGACCACCTACCTTTCTGTGAAGAATGGGTCATATATGAATTCTCTAACCCTACTCAACAGTAGATCCCAAGACCTTCTTTCCTGAGCAGTCATGTCTGGGGAAGAAGGGAAGCTAATCGCAGGGACAAAAAAGACTGATAAGGCAGGATCTGCTCACACTGGACCACTAGCTAGTCTCCGGCTACCTCTCCACAGGGCATAACTGTGGGATAAGAAGTGTGAATGAACAGAGTTTTTGTACAGGTTTTAGGTGAAGGAACTTCATGCTCTTCTCTTAGTGTCAAGTCACTAAATTTTCAGGCACTTCAATATGAAAGGATCTCAGGGAGAGAATTCCCAGTTCTTGTTAGATTAGGACCTTGAAACTGGGCCCTGAGAGTCTGCCTTCATCATTGACCATGTGATGGAAATTGGAGACTCACTTCTTTGACTTTGGCTACAGCCCTGTAAAAAAAAGCTACCAGCACATTTATCCTTGCTCCTTCATTCCTAACTGTTTTACATGTTTTTGAAAGAAAAATCATAAAATAAGATGCTCTGAGTTGATTATCAAATGAAATTCTATTATTTGAATCAATGATTGAGTCAGATGATTGTTGTATATTACTTGGCGATGAAAACTTCAATGTCTTCGTGAATCATGGATACTTTAAATAATTAACAATGCTATTCATAAACTTGTGAGCAAAATAACACAGGAAAGAGACTGTGCTGTCATGTCAACTAACTTGTGTTCTCTCCTTACAGCTATTGACAGCAGAAAGATGAGAAATCTCCTCAATAGTCGTAAGTCCCAAAGTCCACAATTAAGCGTTTATTTCTTAATAAAGAGAGTGGATAAGAATCACAAAAATGTTAGTACAGATTACAAGATTTTCTATTTCTTTTTATATCTTCATAAATCAAGTACTTAGTCTTTCCATTTCTGTTCTTAATATGTCACATATTAGGTATATATATCAATGTGATTTTATTTTCTATCCTTTATATATGTTGTATAATATTTTAGATGTTATATTAATATTCTTAAAGTATTTTGATATTCTCTCATGATTTAAGAGAGAACCAAGTTGAAGTTTTCACTTTTCAAGTGTTTGAGGTTTTCTCCCTGCTTCACTCATCACATCTGAATATATTCCGAGTCTTGTAGGTAAATATGTGCCTACTATCCATGCTGTAAGAACACTTGCAAGGCTTTTCAAAGGTTGGTTTGAAGTTAGATCAGTTGAAGATTTGACAGCAGCAAATAAGAATTTTTCTAAACTATTCTTATATTTTAGAAAATAAAAATTTGCATAAAATTAGTAAAATATATCAAAGATAATAAATTGATTATACTTGTCACATGGAGGATAAATCATGACCTATATTCACTGATGGGTTGTCACTTAACAGTAAAGTTCTATTGATTTAGATGTGGATGATCCTAATGTTATATACCACTGTGTCACTCACTAGCTAGGTTATGTACAGCAACTTGTGTTCCTCTCCAAGGCATGCATATATATATGAATATATAGCCATTTTTGATGTTTAGTAATAACCTATGTATTGATAAAAATAAATGACAGAATGACTCTAGAATGGTCAATAGGAGAACACAAATATTTTTCTATACTTTAATTACTTGCTGACATAGGCAAGTTACCACAAAGATATCTCCTATCAGGAACTCAATCCATCATAGAGAATGATTTCCCCAGACTAATTATATCTTAACAGGTATGAGGCACACAAGACTGATCAGTTTATTGCTTATTTCTTGACTTAGACATTCCAAGACACTTTCAAAATTTATGATCACCAGAGTTTGCATTAGTTTGTAATCTGTGAACTTTTCCCAATCTCATCTCTCTCCCTCAAAAGATGCTACGTCATTACACTCATGCTTGATGTAAAAGCCCAAAGCCACCTTCCCTTGGCAGAACATTTGGTCAGTCTAGATGACTGCACTTTCAAACTTTCAAATCTATTCTGCACCCAATAAAGTTCTTTCTGGTTTTGCTTCTATTTAAGCTCACTTATTATTTTCAATTTATATTATTGGTTTATATTGTTTGTTTGCGAGATTTTCTCTGTAGCCCCAGCTGCCAAAGACTGACAAAATTTTTGTATAGGCATCCCAAATGCTGGGATTAGAAATATGTGTTAATGTTTTATAGAGAGAAACGAGCTGATTTTAGAACTAAATGCCTAAGCATATTGGTAAGTATTTCTTCATTTCTTCTGAACTTTAGAGTAATAAACACTATACAAACACACACACACACACACACACACACACACACACACCAGTGACTAACTGCTAAGAATGGCATAAAGAGTTGCTGAAGCAAAAACGATTTTATTAGTGACTTTCCTAAATACAAGTCATGATATTTCCCTCTATTGTAATGAGAACAAACTACTACGTGTTTCTTTGTCAGGATGTGGGATAAGGATGTCATCTTCAAACATGCCATTGCCAGCATCCTCTACTACTGAGCGAATTGTCCAAGGAAGGGAAACAGCTATGGAAGGAGAATGGCCATGGCAAGCCAGCCTCCAACTCATAGGGGCTGGCCATCAGTGTGGAGCCACCCTCATTAGCAACACATGGCTCCTGACTGCAGCTCACTGCTTCTGGAAGTAAGTTCACTGGGCAATGGGGAGCTTTGATTTCCTTAGTCCTCTCTTGCCATTGATTTAATGCAAAGGAACAGCTCAGTCTCACCAGCTTGTCCTCCAGTCTGCACGTTATCTGCAGTCTATAGGGTATATACCTGTTTGGTTTGTGTAGTTTGATTCTAGTGCTATCTTCCTTATATTACAAGTTATTCACCATAAAGACTGATATACTTGTCTTCTACATACTCAAAGAGAAAAGTTAATCACTTCTCTCCTGCTTCCCCACCGGTTAATTAATTGATTTCCCACCATCAATATCCGGGATTATTTCATTACAATGAGGGAAAAGGCTTTGAAATTTGTTTTGGAGCATTCTCTTCTCACTGTATTTTCAAGGAAACTCCATGGAAGTTTCAGAAGGCTTATAGAGGTGTCACTCTGCCCTTGTAGCATGATATTTTGGTCCTGTATAGCAGAGTCCAGGTTCTCAGCTTGGCTTTCAGGGTTGTTTCTCTCAAAATTCAGTCATTCATAGACTCTTTAGAGAGCCTGGAGATTAAGGGACTTGGTCTTTTCTCCCTTGGGGATTGCCATTAGCATAGAGAGAATCTCAAGAAACAGGATGGGCTCTAAATGAAAGTTCTTTGCTTGCTCAGTGACACGGTCTACGTGTGCTCCTAAAGCAGCTTTTCCTTGGTACTATTGGAGGCCTTTTATCCATTTTTTTTAAGGACGTAAACAGAATGATTCCAAGACACTTAAGCAGTCTCTTTGCAGACAAAGTATAATGAGAAAGACCTAATAAATTTGAAGTTATCTCTTCCTCTTTCAATGATGAAGAAACTCACAATTTCATATCTATGAATCCCAAAGCAACTAGTACCATGTTCATGATGAACACTTACTTACTAAGACTTTCTGGCATGTTCATGTCCTTACAGTCACCCAAAATTTGTTTTTATGTGTTTGTGAAAGTATTTATAAAATAGAAATAATAACCAGAATGTCAGCTTAATATTAGTACTGATATAAGCACTCCTTTCAATGAGACCAGTGAGCTGTCTGGGGATGGACAGACATACATAAGAATTGGATGTTGAAGCTGATAAAGTAAAAATTACTATTGACCTTAAGAAGGTAATTTTCCACAGTGTGATAAGAATGGGAATGTATTCAAAAGATAATTGAAGGAACAAGTGCAGTAGCTTTAAAACTACTTTAAAGGACTGTATAAATGAGAGATGCCAGAGAAATTTGAAAGTTAATGCCAACGAAAGATTTTTTTAATACGGCAAATGTAGCAGCATATTTGGTACTTGTAAATGGAAACTGCTCATTTATTTCACGGCTGCCCAGAGCCAAATAATCACACAGAAACCATATTAATTACAAAGCTGTTTGGCCTATTAGCTTAGGCTATTTCTATCCTAAAATTAACCCGTCTTAGATTAGCCCATTTCTATTAATATGTGTATTGCCACCAGGCTGTGGCTTACTGGGAAGGTTCCAGCCCAGCAGCATCTTTCTCTTTTGGCAGCTATTGACATCTCTTTGATTCCACCTTCTCTTTCTCTCTCTCTAGATATCTATATCTATATCAATATCTATATCTGTATTTATATCTATCTACCTATCTATCTAAATCTTCCAATCTGGCTATATTATTCCCTGCCATAGGCTAAAGAAGCTTTATTCATTAACTAATAAAAGCAACACATATACAGGAGGACATTCCACATCAGGTACTGGGTAAAAATAATTCAAATAGCTAAATAAAGTGATGATCCTGAGGAAAAAGGATTATATTTTCAGAGTACCATAATTTCACATAATTATATACTTAGAATACTATTTAAAAAGGAAATAAAGTGATATTTTGAAGATAATATAGAAGTTATACAAATAACCTTCCTATTTTAATAAATGAATTTTTCCATAGAAATAGCATATTTAAAAATGGTATTTCAGTACAATCCCAGCATTCCATGTTCATGAAAGTCTGCTTTCATAGTTTGCTTCAGTCTTAAGAAACCATGTGAGTCAGGAAAAGTTTTTGACAAGATGTAGGAAGACAGGATGTAGCAAGGTCTGAGTATCTCTTAGTGTCTCTATTCCACAAAGCAGCATGTTTGAGCCTGTTATGAATCTTTGATGATGCACAAAGGGATGGCCATTCTATTTTGCTATTTTGCTATCCCAAATTGTTTGTAATCTCCTTAACTCCTGAAATAGTGTTAGTCATTATCACTCTAGTAGTGAATGTCTGGGTATCAAATGATGGTCCCAGTCCTAATGAGTCTACATTAAACAAATGTTCCATAAACAAACAAACAAACAATGAATAAACAGATGAGAGAAGAACTCTTTTTCTGCTCCTGTTCTGTCTTGTCATCCCTGGACAATCTAGTGTACTTTGAAAATGCATGACCTTTTACTACTCTTAAAAGTTGATGATTTAGAGAAGGGGGAATGATGTAATTATAATCTCAAAAATATAAAAGAAACACTTTTTTCTTAAAAAAAAAAGAAAGGAAGGAAGGAAGGAAGCAAGGAAGGAAGAGCCCTGATTTCAGAGCAGGTAGGATGAACATAATGTCCACAGACTTGTGAGAAAGCTCTGTGGTTAAGAAAGCATTCTGTTCTCAAAGAAGACACAAGTTCCATTCCCCGGAGACACATTAAGTATGGGACAACTGCCTGCACCCCAAACTCCAACAGCTCAGATGTGTCTTGCCCCCACTGACACCTATACTCATGTACAGGTAATCTCCAACTCACAAAAAAAAAACATTTTTAAAAAGAAAAAGAGAGTTGATGATTGACCAACATGGTAATCCCTTATAAACGAGGAAATTCCTTTTTAAAATTCTCACCTGTGACTTTCTTCTACCTAATTTCCCTTCATCCAGACAATGTCTGGTTTCTGTATATGTCTAATCATTCGTAATATGAATAATTCTAAAGGGACTGAAATGGACTTTGGAGAAAAAAATTATAGCAGGTAAGAGTTGGTTGCGCTGGACGTAATTTATGACGTAACCCTGGGGAAGTAAAGCAGCTATGTGAAAAGAGAGTTGGTTAAGTGGGAGGCTAAACAGACTACAGCAAAGGACTGTGTGAGACTTGCTTCCAGTAAGGGCAGCTTAACCTTTGAATGTCAGGAAGGGGTGTGGGCATGGGTGGAGGAAAACCTTTGTGCGTTTCACATTAGACACATTCCACTTAGCTTCAAAGATCACAGTAAACAAGAGCCAACAAGCAAGTTGTCAAATCAAGATGGGTGTTTTGGTGGAGAGGGAACTTGCCTACTAGGATGCCCATTGTCTAGAAGAAAGCAAAGTAATGCCTGCACAATTCTTTGAAAGAAAAGAATGAGAATACAAAGAACTCTAACAAGGCACAAACTTAAAATATGGAAACCGATAATTAAATAACTTCCGTACAATTATTTGCTTTAACCACAGGAAAACTCTTTTTCACAGGGCCACCAGCTGTCAATTCTCTCACCAAAGAAACTTTTCGAGAGCTTCATTCTAAAAGCTGGGCAGAAATATAATTTTGACCTTTTTTTATTAAAGAAAGCAACATGAACCATCACAAATCTTATCCTTTAATTTTCTGTAGAAACAGAGACCCAAGTAAATGGATTGCTACTTTTGGTACAACTATAACACCACCGGCCGTGAAGCGAAGTGTTGGCAAGATTATCATTCATGAAGATTACCACAGAGAAAGCAATGAAAATGACATTGCTCTAGCCCAGCTCACTACCCGCGTAGAGTTTTCAAACGTGGTTCAAAGAGTCTGCCTCCCAGATGCATCTATGAAACTGCCACCGAAAACAAGTGTGTTTGTCACAGGGTTCGGGTCTATTGTAGATGATGGTGAGTAGTTTCATTCTATTTTTTTATACAAAAATATTTTATTAAAAATAATGGTGCAGGGGCTGAGACTTAGTTGACAAAGTGTTGTGCTAGCAAAAGGATATGAGTTAGGGTCCCCAGCACCCATATGAAAGCCAACTGTGGGGCTCATACCTGTAATTAATTAATTCAAATTTAGTGAGAGACCTAATATTTAAATAATGGCTCAAAAAATTAGGTGACAGTGACTGAAGGCAGGCATATCTCTGTGAGTTTGAGGCCTGCCTGGTCAACAAGAGTGAGTTCCAGGACAGCAAGGCCAGCCTGGTATACAAGAGCTAAGTCCAGGACAGGCTCCAAAGCTACAGAGAAACCCTGTTTCAACACCCCCACCGCCCAAAAGAATACACTACAAGTGACACCAGGAAGAATGATTCTCTGTGTTGTGTCCTGATTTCTACTTTAATATTAGCTGAAAAAAATAGTGAATTTGTTTGTCATGCAACTTGGACTAGATTAGTATGGTTGAACTTTCTGAGCATCCAGTGAAGACTGCAGGGTGTGTTAGCATGAAAAACCTTGTATACATTTAGCATCTGTGTGCGGTTTTAAAAGATACTGTAGAGGAACCTCCAATATGATACAGTTCTGAGACTTGTATGGTTGATTTCTTTCATTGAGACAGTAGGGTTAGAGAAAATACGACTTAGTATAAACTAATATACATAAAATATTTTGTGCTTTGGCTCTAGTCTGTATTAGGGGTACAACCATATTTTAAAAACACATTATTTTTTTGTTTATTTGTGCTGTGTAATAGGGCCTACACAAAATAAACTCCGGCAAGCCAGGGTGGAAACCATAGGCACTGATGTGTGTAACAGAAAGGAAGTGTATGACGGCCTGATAACTCCGGGGATGCTGTGCGCTGGATTCATGGAAGGAAAAGTAGATGCATGTAAGGTATGTTGAAAGCCAAAGTCAATCCTTTAGAGGGAAGTTTCTCTTAGCAATTTCTGAGCTTAGCGTAGAATAGAACAACTGTCCTGAGTGCTTAATGTTCACAAACCCAAAGCAAAGCACCTTTACTATAATGTTTTTATTATTTTATTAATTGTTGTTTATATTTCTTATGTTATATTATTATTTATTTTCAGTGTAGCAAGATATGGTTAGCACTATATAACTCTCTCCATTTTATACATTAGTATGTGTTTCAGTTCTATCCATCAAATTTCATGATATTGTGTTTCTTTATTGCTGAAGAGAATTCTGTTGTAGTACATTTTTTATGACCCTTTCTTCACTAGAAAGACATCTAGTGTTTTCATTTTCTAGCTATTGTGAATAGAAAGTGAGAAGAGCAACTCTTATGTGCCTTTTTATTGTTGCTTTTCTACTGTATATTTTATCTCTGCTCTGTACTCTTTCCTTCTGTTTGCCAACTTTGACTTTAGTTCGTTCACTTTTCTCCATTTTCAAGGAATGTTATATTTAGGTGAGATCTTTCTTCTTTTCTGTTCTAGCCATCCAATACTATAATTTCCTTTTGTATGTCTCTTGTGACTCACTGATTGTCTATAAGTGTATTCATTCCATAGTTGTGAATTTGTACAGATTTTTCCATTTATTGACTTATAGTTTCAAGCCACGCTTGTTCAAGGAAGAGCTCTATAAGTCACCTCTTCTCTATGGCCCATCCCTCCTTCCCCCCTTCTCCATTCAAGTTCCTGTCTTCACTGGCCTTTGGGGGAAAGTTCAAACTAGCACTGACTGAGTCTCTTACAGTAAACATTTACTTTGCAACTGATTTCATTTTATTATTGTTATTCAAAAGTCTTGTGGGGAAATCTCTAGATGGATACCTCCAGCTAGAACCCTACTTTGTGGTTTTGCTATAAATATTTGGAAAGAATGTCTATGCCTATTGTCTCTATTTCTCACTTCCTTTAATACTGTCAGCCATCACTATTGGGTTTTCCCCATTATTTTCTCCAAATAGTTCCCCTTAATGACTCATCAGTGGCAGCAATGTTAAATTCTAACAGGCATCTTTGACGTTGTTCTTTTCTTTTATGCCCATACAACATTACTAATGCTTACTACTCCCTTTTATTGAAACATTGTCTTCTCTTGATTCTTTAATGATTTCCAGAATGTTTTCCTCTTCATACCCCATATCAAGTTGCTGATTGAATCTGTTCGATTTTTTTATCTTTTTATAACTCCTGCTTCGCCAGTTCTATATTTTCTTCCCTCTCTCTTCTTCTTTTCTCTCACCTCATAGCTTCCAGCTCCTCATCCCATTTTTTCTCTTGTACTTCTTTAGTGCATTTGCCAGATAAACATTAGCAATATTTGTAATATGCTAATCTAGTTATGTCAAAGACCTCTTTAAAATATTTCAGCACCTGCGTTTTGTTCTTAAAAATACAAAACAAAGGGACTGGAGAGATGGCTCAGTGGTTAAGAGCATTGCCTGCTCTTCCAAAGGTCCTGAGTTCAATTCCCAGCAACCACATGATGGCTCACAACCATCTGTAGTGAGGTCTGGTGCCCTCTTCTAGCCTGCAGACATACACGCAGGCAGAATATTGTATGCATAATAAATAAATAAATACATAAATACATAAATATTTTAAAATAATACAAAACAAAGCTTTCTAAGGTCCACAGGGATTCACAGTAATCCCTGAGCCATTTGACAGTCTTATCCCATACCTCTGACCTACTTCTCCTGATACTTTTTCCCTCTCTAGCTCCATCTTTTTATCCTTGCATATGCCAGATTCCTTCACACCACAGAGCATTTTCAAAAACTTTCCCTCTGTCTAAATGCAATACAGGACCACTGTCTGATGCACAATCAACTGCTCTACCTTCTCATGTCAACATCATTGCATCTCCAAGGGATGTACTGTGAGAGTACATCCTGACCAATCAAATGTTCTTATTTTAGTTTCTCTGTCATTTACCATAGCTGTGATTAGTCTTTGTTTGGGACTTATTTAAATATCAGCCCATTTAATCTACACTTCAAGCTCTGTGAGCAAACTCACAGGTGTGTCGTTCTCTCCCTCTCTCTCTGTCACACACACACACACACACACACACACACAAATAAACCTTTGTAAGTTGAATAATGGAATAATGAGGTGAGAGAAGCAGAGAAAGTTAAAATATTTTGCTCAGGGTCACTCATAATTGACAGAGCTGGGCTTGAAATGAGGCATTTCAACATCTGTAAGTGTATCTGTCTACTTAATCTCTCTCATTATATAAAAGAGGTAAAGGAGCTTTTATAATTCACTAAGAAAATATAAATTAGAAAAGATGAAAAAAAGAAAAGGAGACCAAGAGCAGGTAACAAAACAGGTCAATAGTGTTCCCAAGTGACCTTTAAAATTTCTCTTTACTATTATAACTAACAGTCTCATATTTGACATTTTATGTGCATAAAATCTTGTCTTATCATAACATATATTCAGGACATGTCTAACTAAAGAAATAAAATACAAGGATGATAAGCCATAAATAATGTAAACATTATATATGAAAGATATATTTGTTTTCTACTAAAAAAGAAAATATACTTTAAGGTTTAGAACAAAATTTTAGCTCAATTGAAGGATGCATAAAATCTGTTCAGTCTGTTTCTGTGATCCATATAACAATTTTTTATTTTCGTGTGTGTGTGTGTGTGTGTGTGTGTGTAGGCAAGGTCTGTGGAAAAGAGATGGTTATTATTATCTTGAATTGGAAAACTTGTTTCTATTCCAGGGTGATTCTGGTGGACCTCTGGTTTATGACAATCGGGACATCTGGTACATTGTGGGCATAGTAAGTTGGGGACAATCTTGTGCTCTTCCAAACAAGCCTGGAGTCTACACAAGAGTGACTAAGTACCGAGACTGGATAACCTCCAAGACTGGCATCTAGAATGGACTCTTGTGAGTTATAGCCATGGCTCACAGAGCGCGATGACTGCAGATTGTCTATTATCTCTTAGAGTCGTGAGTTATAGCGACAGTACACGGAGCAAAATGCCTGCACATTGTACATTATTACTGAGCGTTGTGAGCTATATAATCACGGCCCATGGAGCAGGATGCCTGCAGACTGTCCATTATTACTTAGAATCATGGGGTTAAAACAATGCTTCTGCCGATGTCAAGGAACTCGTCAGACCTAGACTAACTTAATACCATGAGGTGGCTTTTATGTACATAAACTTTCTACCAAGAAGGAAGAAGACATGGCGAATGACAGGTAGCACCAATGCCTCACTCATAAGGGTGACTCCTCAAGGTGACAAACACTTACAAATGACTTCCCTCAGGGTATAAAAGCTGCCAGGCTGCTACAACCTTACCTCAAATGATACATCGAGCCCCAGGATTCATCTTACAAACATCAGTCAACACCTTCGCTAGGAATTTAAGACGTCAGCATTTTAAAACTCGTGACTGGACATTCAATTGCTAGAATGAAGGAGCGTTGAACCTGCAGCAAAACTTGAACTGTAACCTGGGTTTGTATATGACAGAGCAGAGCATTATTCTCAACCACAGGAATTGTCATTATTTAAATGCATATGAACTTGCCATAACATCATGAATACCCTCAAAGCACTGGCTTCAGGGAGCATTTTGCACCGTTAAGAAGCATTTCTGGCTTACTCTTTAGCAGAATCTTGCCATCCACAAATCAATCGTAATAAGCCCAGAAAAGAGAAAAATAAAACCATTATAAGGATTTTTCCACTAGTATCAAGAAGCAGATGAAATCAGAATTAGTTTACAGATGTTTAGTAGCAGGGCACACTACACTTTTGATAGAGTGTGTTATCCAAATACTTATTTTGAAATACAAACATGAGCATATGGTTACCAATGCTTTTGTAAATCATCACTCATTGCCAAGTTATATGTCTTTCAAAATGTCAGAGGAGGAGGGCCTCATGAAAAAAAGAATAGTGCTTACTATATACTGAGCACTAATAACAGTAAGTGAATTCCTCAACAAAGGGGTTTAACTAAAGTTCAAAGCCTAGTGGTGGGCACAGTATTAGTGAACACAGGTTGAGATAAACCAATGTATCAGGAACATTGTACTTTGCCACATGCAAATTATATGATTTTATTCAAATGTCCCAGTATCTCTCAGTTAGCTCTTTCATCTGTATAGTGTGAATAAAATTCTACCTCATAGTTTTATTTTTTGAGGATTACATGCATTAATACAGGTATAGTTTTTGCAATAGCAACTGCACAGAGTAAATTCTCAGGACGAATAAGCTACTATCAATATTAATGCTCTTTGGACTTTTAAAAACACAATATTTATATTTTTAAATGCCCCTACTTCTTTGAAGAAATACAAATAATGTCAAAATCCCTTAAATTGCATTGTTAAAAAAAACAGATGAAGTATCAGATTTTCAAAATCGCTTTTATGGTATTTCTTGGATTTATTTTGAACTGTGTCTGCGGCAGACAAGTAGTTATAGGATGATGATCACCTTGCTTAGAACTCCAGCCATACATCTGTATTCACCTCCAGCTATCAACTGTGAGACCTGCATGTGTTACTCTGACTTAGCAGACAGAAGCTGTGGTATAGCCACCCTATTAAGGCTAAAACTTGCTCTGGGTCTAGTTTACATATAACTGTGCTTATATGCAACATATGTATCCAAGACAAACACAACTTTCAAAGATTCTGAGTTGCTCTAACTTGCATCTCAATGAGCTAAAAGCGCAAGAAGGTCATGCCTTATGGGCTAATGGGACAACATCAGAAAATGTAGAGTAAAAGCTTAAAGTCGGGCTTGATTGATGTTGGATTTTTCTTTTAAATTAAGATAAGCTCCTCTTTTGGTAGATATGTGAAAGCAAATCTGCCTACCAGAAAATTTTCATTCTTTCCTTTGTAAATTCTGTAACAACAGATTTGTTGTATGTAATTTTATTTATATTGCATAATACTGTGATGACTTTTTGTGTATAAGTATCTGTGAAACCGTGCATACTGATTTAAATATTTCCATGTTTAGTTCTATTGAATTTAACAATAACTTAATGCAAATAAGAATAAACATAAAAAACACAAGAATTCTTAAAAAATTGGAAAACATTTTTTTAGCAGTGTTTGTATTTCTTATTTCAAGTTTGATAACTGACTTATTGACTGAATGACATAGAAGTCAAGTGATCTTCTACTTCGTGTTTTCCATCTGACATACGGGTTACTATGCTATCTATCTCATGGAGTTACTGTGAGGCAGTGTTGAAAAATAATAAAGTTGCAAAGTTGAAGAACATCTAAAATCTCAAAAATACAAAGTATACTATTGTTAAAAGACATCAATATAGACGATACAGAAAATGCATTAAGATTATAAATATGTGTTCGTTCTTTGCAGTGTTGGATTTTTATTTCTTTGTTTATTTGAAAAACATAAAAAATGGTCTACAAGAGCTAGTTCCAGGACAGGAACCAAAAGCTACGGAGAAACCCTGTCTCGAAAAAAAAAAAAATGACTAACACAAAAAAGAAAATGGTCTTGCCATCTGTGTATTAACACTACGGTAATTTTAGTATACTTTTTATTGAAAAAAGCAAAAGTCTGATAGGTGCTCAAATTACGCTTTTTTTACTTCCTTGAAAAAGAACCTATTAAACCCTATATAGTGAATAAGAAGTGGAAGAGGAAGAGAAGGAGGAAAAGAAAAAAGAAGAGGAAGAGGAAAAAGAGGAGGAGGAAGAGGAAGAGGAGAGGAGGAGAAAGAAGTCAACAGGGAAGAAGGAATTGTAACACCACCAAAAAGAAATTTAAGCTATCCCATGTCAGTTGTACCATTGATGAACCATTAATGATGCTGGACAGTCATTTACTTCTCTCTTGAAAATCCATGCTACAATCTTCTTAATGGTTGTTCCAACATGGCAGCATTTTGACAAACGCTAGTGTTCAACCCAGCTCTTTCAACTGTCTCTGCTTCTCACAAAATAGGTTCATTACCTACCTTCTCTCCCCAGAACTCTAGTCTCTCTCTCTCTCTCTCTCTCTCTCTCTCTCTCCCTCTGTGTTCGTTTTGTTATAGCTGTCTCTTTCTCCTTCTTTCTCCTCTTCCTTCTATTCCACTTTCCCTTTCATTGCCCTTTCTCTTTCCCTTCTTTTCTTCCTGTACTTGCAAAACATTTCCAACATTCATCATACAAAAAAGGAAAGAAGGGAGAGGAAAGTAGTATCTCCAGAGCCTGTATCCTTAACCAACAGGTCTTGGCATAGATTAGGCTTGGCTCTCTTCCTGGCTGCTTTCAGTAAATTCTGTGAGGATAATCCACAAAACTCTCCTGCAATTTTCTGTTGTTACTGTTCTGAATTTTCTTCTCCATTCTTGAGCTCCTTCTACTTTATCTTCCTATCTCTCTATCTCAAATAGCATTAGCTATTCAGCTATAGCTTGAATGTATCCCCTAGTAATTAGTGGTTAGAGTGGGGGGGGGACTTAGTAAGGGGTTACTAGGTCAACATGGTAGAGAGTTCATGAATAAATGCCAGCACAAGAAAGGGGTAGCTTGTCTTGTGGTGACAAGTCCGAGCCCTGCTGTTTCATCTTCTGCACATTTTTGCTTTCCTTATCACCTTCCATCACTGGGAGGGCAGCAAGAAATCCCTCAACAGATGCTAAATAGACACTAACACTGTCTCCTTTGATCCCATTTGACTTCAGAACTTCCAGAATAATGACATAAATACAATTTTTAAAATAACTTGTTCATTCTATATTATTGTTAAAGCAATATAAAACAGACAGAAGTACCCTTTATCTCCTAAAACAAAAATGTTTAACCTCAAAGATAAATTGGCATTATTTTAACAGAAATTTGATATTTGGTTTTTCTTTCAATTATAAAATGATTCTCATACACAGACAAACAGTAGCAGAAGTTGTCAATCACAAGAAAGATGTTTTAAATTTGGTTTAGTAATTGTTCCATAAACACAAATTAAACACTATTATAATTTCACAAAATATATTAATATATAAGCCTCTTTATAATTTTATATAGTCTATTTATGCATCTAAAAACATTATCATCAAAGATATACATGGTATTTATCAGGCTTGTTAGGATACCAAGCATAGCCTCATATACGGCACAAAAAGAGATCAAGACTCTGTCACATGTAATAAAGGAAAACTAATTTCTTGATATACAAAATCTTATTATCATCCTCTTATTGCTTTCTATTTTGAGTGTCATCTTTATTTCTCTCTTGCCACTTTTCTTCCAGAGTGCCACACAAAGTCATTGTGGTTTCTTACATAAAGCATCTCCAGGGTCAAGCAAATGATGATATGTCCTGCACCACCTCATCTTATGTATGGGTACTCTCCTTCCTTATTATTGAAGCAATTTATAGTACATGTACAATATGTACACATCAAATTAAACTATATATATATATACTATTACAACATCACTTAGAGAATAAAAGTAACATTTTGTTTTGACATTATGATAAACAGAATTCTAAAATGGTCAGCAAAGACTTTCTTGCCTAATCCTACTGTGACTATGTGTGTGTGTGTGTGTGTGTGTGTGTGTGTGTACATGTGTATGTATATATGTGATATATGATATATATAAAACAATGATTGTGCCTTATTTCTTCATAAAATACATTTTTTCAGATGTTAGTAAAGGTATTTATTTTTGTATTTGGAGACTTATATAATGAAAATAGAGTAGTATGAGTTATAAATAACAAATATTTTCCCTCACAGTTCTAGAGGCTGAACAGTTTTACATATCAACATATATAGTATCTGAACAGCTCCTTTGATTGGACCTTCACATGGTGAAATGTCTAAACCACTTCTCTGGGTTGCTCTTTTATGGATTCCATCTCTAGGGTGGATCCACTG